GAGTTTGATGATGAGGTTCTATCCTAGACTGTTCCTGCCGGACCAGCTCAGGTTCCAAAGGGGCTCATCGCCACCCCAGTACTTGAGGATGATTTGGTCCGTCTAGTGGGCCTTATGGAGAGTGTTGCTCATACCGACACATTTTCTGTGGAACCCTCCGTCTCTCGGGCTGGGGGAGGAGTCCAAACTACCGCTACTCACACTCCGGAGTAGATGGCTCCCCAGTTTCAGACTCCAGCAGCTCAGCCAGTTGGGGTAGTTTCGCCAGGTGTTGCAGTACAGACCGGTGACGGATCAACTATATCTTCTGAGGCTTGTAGAGATTGGATAGGTTTACCAAGCTTTTCCCAGTTCACTATGGTGGTATATCTTCAGAGGACCCCCATGACTATCTGGACAGTTGTTATGAGGTGTTACGATTATGGGGATAGTGGAGACCAATGAGATCGACTCTGCTGCATTTCATCTGTCGGGTTATGCCAAGAAACAACGGAGAGATTATATATTAGCCAGACCAGTTGGGTCGCCGACTCTTACTTGGGACGAGTTCTCTCAGCTATTTCGTGAGAAGTATCTTCCTATCACTCAGAGAGAGGACTACCGGAGGCAGTTCGAGCGTCTGCAGCAGGGTTCTATGATTGTCACTCAGTACGAGACTGGATTTGTGGATTTGGCCTGTCATGCTATTCTTCTGCTTCCAACCGAGAGAGAGAGAGAGGGTGAGGAGATTTATTGAGGGGCTTGCTTAGCCTATCAGATTGCAGATGGTTAATGAGACTGGGAGTGAGATTTCTTTTCAGGCAGCAGCCAATATTTCCAGGCAAGTCGAGATGGTTCTAGCTCAGGGGAGTGGTCAGGGATCTGACAAGAGACCTCTTCATTCTGGCTGATTCAGTGGTGCCTCGTCTGGAGGCAGGGGTACTTTTGGTAGAGGCCCTCCTCCCAGGCCGTTTCATTCAGCACTCCAGGCTTCTCACGATGCTTCAGGTGGTCGTGGCCCTCATATGCAGTATTCCGATCATCTAGCCTACAGTGCACCACCAGTTTTTATCAATGCACCTCCACTCTAGAGTTTTCAGGTTGGTTACTCAGGCCGCTAGGGTCAGTTTCAGGGTCATCATCCTCAACAGTCGAGATCTTGTTATACTTGTGGTGATCTGAGGCACATTGCTAGATTTTGCCCTCGAGCATCGAGTAGTTCTCAACATCAGGGTTCTCGTATCATGGTCCAGGCATGGGTGTTTCACCGCCTGCTCAGCTAGATAGAGGTAGGGGTCAGACAGCTAGAGGTGGAGGTCGAGACATTTGAGTTGGAGGCCAGGCCGCTAGAGGTGGAGGCCAACCAAACATGGCTCGTCCTCGAGATATAGTTCAGAGTGGGGCCCAACCCCAATGCTATACTTTTCTATCCAGGCCTGAGGCTGAGTCATCTGACGCGGTTATCACAGGTACGGTTTCTGTTTGCAGTAGGGATGCCTCAGTATTATTTGATTCGGGTTCTACTTATTTGTATGTGTCATCCTATTTTGCTTCATATTTGGTTGTGCCTCGTGATTCTTTGAGTGCTCCAAATTCAAATTCGAATATACGCCCAAGTCCAAAATCACCATACAAACCTATTGAAACCATCAAATCACCAATCTGAATGAGTTTACTAAAAAGTCAAACCTTGGTGAACTCTAGCAACTTAAGCTTAATGAGAGTGTCTTAAATCACTCTCAAACCTTTATGAAGCCAAATCAACCATCCCCGCAAGTCAGCAAACAACAAACAAACATATGGGAAGTATCAAATATGGGAAAAGGCTCAAATACACAAAATAATCAATCGGATTATTACAATTACAAAACCCTCGGGCTGCTCCATGTAAATCTCCTTATTTAAATCACCATGAAGAAAAGCAGTCTTGATATCCATCTGCTCAACCTATAAATCTGGATTCGCCGCCAAGCCTAGAACCACAAGAATAAAAGACATCTTTACAATATGGGAGAAAATTTTATCAAAGTTAACTCCTTTCTTCTAGCCAAAACGCTACTAGAAATCCGGTAAAACCCGATCAACTTCGGTCAGTAATGGCCAATAACCATCCAAAATGCATTTACATGTGGACGGTATTTTAAAGGTCGGAAAGCCATACCGACCAAAGTTGGTCAAAAATTACCGACCAACATTGGTCTGAAAGCCATACCGACCAAAGTTGGTCGAAAATTACCGACCAACATTGGTCGGTATGCTCTACACGACCATATGACAATTTAATAGGATTATCGACCAAAATTGGTCGGAATATTATTTTATTAATTTAATTTAACCGACCAAGCTTGGTCGGTGTATTAAATATATTAATTTTTATTACCGACCAAAGTTGGTTGGTATTGAAAAATATTTTTTTTAAAATTTAATTTAAGAAAACCGACCAACTTTGGTCGGTAAACTTGACTGGGTAGGCAGAAAACCGACCAAAGTTTGTCGGTAATGTTGAATTCTGGGAATTCATTGTACATAACCGACCAACATTGGTCGGTAAACTGCAATTTTTTTTTTAATTAGTAACCGACCAAGGTTGGTCGGTTTTCTAGGTTTAATTTTGGCAGAAAATGCCTGTTTTAGTAGCTACACCACTTGCCAAATCAAAACAGCATACCAATACCCCCAGTTCAATTCTAACAACCACCAAATCACCACAAATCCAATCAAAAAACCCGACAACAACGACAACAACAACCAAGCATCCAATAAATACTTTAAAACTAACAAATTAAAGTTCAATTGAACATAACAATCCAAAACCAAGTTAAAATTAATTACAACAAGTTCAAAATTGTTCAATCTAATTCAAAACTGGTTCTATTAGTCTAGTTCAAAGTATATAAAAGTATTGGTCTGGGGATGTTTTCTACAACATCATCAGCACCGTCTGATGAACTTTCATCTACAAGACGGTATAGAGCACGGTCTTGTGGAGGACGGGAAGAACGATCACGGGGAGGACAGGAAGAACGATCACGGGGAGGACAGGAAGAACGATCACGGGGAGGACGGGAGGAATGATCATGAGGAGGACGGGAGGAACGATCACGTGGAGGTCGAGCTCTAGCGATGACTCACGAGACCGAGACAACGGAAAAACTCTAGTAGATAGGAGAGTTCTGATCTGAGCTTGCATACCAAGGAATTGAGCATCTCTAAGCCTTTCTCTTTCCTTGGCCGCTTCTAGCTCAAATGTAAGCTTTGTCACTGTCTCCCCCATAGCCGAGAGGCTCTCCCTATTAAGTTCCTTGCCTTGCGAGGAAGTCCCTATTCCTTGCATTCCACACCTATAGCGATGGAATTTTTTCGTAGGAAGCCCGTATACTGTCCTCCATTTTGGACCGCCAACAACTTCCAACCATATTTCGTTCAGCATCCTCGTCCGAAGGTTGGATTAGCTCGCCCGATTCACCAGATGGATGACTACAAATGAATTCCTCCATGTTACTTTGGTAGCGATCCTACATTATTTTAAATTAAATTAGTATTTAAAAAATTTATAAAAGTAAATTATAACACTTAATTTGAGTGAGGAGTTATGAAAATTTGGAGAAGAGATGTAAGAGAAATGGGGGGAATCAGCTTAAATTTCAGATCTAATTTCATAATTACCAACCAAAGTTGGTCGGTATATATTAAGTGTTGACCGTTTGATTAAAAACCGACCAACTTTGGTCGGTTATTTAAAAAAACTAATTTTTTTTGTGTTTTTATTTCTTAAAATATTATAAACTATAAAAAAATTATTATAAACTATAAGCATTTATTTTATTTATAATAATTATAAACTATAAGCATAATCTTTATAAATAATTATATTGACTAGTTACTTTTAATAAATTATAATAACATCTATCTAAGTAAACTTTCTAAGTTATAATTAAGTATATGAGTAATTTCACACACACACACATACACTATGTTGTAATTGATGATTAATCGCATACATTACTACGTACGAAAAATTTTCAACTGATAAACCGATATTATTCTATTTTAAATATATTTAGTCGTTAATTTGACCTATTAACTCGTTTACTTAATGCTAATAACTTCTTTCGTTTCTTTTATTTGTGTGTGTGTGTATATATATATAACATGTCAAAGATGTTTAGTATTAATTCTTCTATTTTTCATTCGTTCATCACTAATAATGCATGATAGATTAATCGATATAGGCCGAGACATTTTGTTTTTAATATTAATCGATATAGGTCAAAACATTTTGTTTTTAATATTCATCGATGCATCTAAGTAAGTTATAACTAGATGAATCAATTTATAAATAGATATATTTGATGATAAATTATATATACTAATTAGATTATTGCTTCTTCACAAGTCTATCCCTAAAAGAACTAGACCCTATGGTCCTAGCGCTTCGTGTTATTATATATATACGGATATACCTATATATATATATATATATATATATATATATATATATATATATATACACACACACACACGCGCGCGCGCGCGATTCACTGTACTACTTTAACTACATATATAGCATGTTATAGTATATGTTAATATATTCATCATTTGTATTACAAAAAAAAGGTTAACGGATTACATTTATATTATTTAGATAGTAAATATAAAAGTGATTCAAAAGTTTTACCAATGTTGACCTAATAACCGACCAACTTAGGTCAGTTATTTTCCAGAAAATAAAATATATCGACCAAAGTTGGTCGGTAAATGCTTCCCCCGCATTAAATTCTTTAAATTTTATAAAACCTTTTAAATAATAATATAATTAGTAAAATTTAAAAAATTAGGTCCATATTACCGACCAAAGTTGGTCGGTAATCAAAAAGTTTCTTTGACTAAGCAAGTCTGACCAGCTCAGTCAACTTTTTGACCAATTTACCAACCAACTTTGGTCGGTATGTAATTTAAAAAAAAATATAAAATATTTTTTTTGTAGTTTCCGTCCATGTTGGATGGTTTTTGGTCGCTTTTTTTGACCGACCAATGTTGGTCGGTACAACTTGGTCGGTTTTTAGCGGATTTCTATTATTGAAACCTTTAACAACTAATATCTCCTTGTACCTACGTGTAGAGGTATGTTGATCTTACTTTTCTCTAAAAATTTATTTGTTTGATAAAGCTCTCTTACCTTACGGCAGTTTCACTGACTCATATGTGACATTCTCATGGAACGACTTCATATTATCTTTTGTGGCTTCTACATACCGATCTTTGTGAGTATCTTGCATGACTTCGTCATAACTCTCAGGTTCTTCCATATTAGTCAAAAGTACATACTCATGAGGAGGATAACACATGAATTTTTTCTTCTCTTTTGTAGGTATTCTAAGAGAGGTTTCAGGAGCATTCGAAGTAGTTACTTGAACAGGAATTGGTTGTTGATTAACTAAAACTTCATTAATTGGAGCATCCATAATATCTGCAGCTTAATAATAATTTTGATCTTGATCACTCTATTCATTATTGTCTTTGGTTTCTTTATGTACAATAGGTGCCTTGGTAATAGAAACTGATCAATATCAACTAAGCTCTCTTTACTTTGGGAATATATCTTCTTGGCTTTATTAATATATTCAATAGTCTGATCTTCAAAGAATAATGTATCACGAGTCTAATGAGTTTATTACTAACTAGATCATAAAAACGATACCCAAAATCATCTTGCCCATAACCAATAAAGATGCACTGCTTAATTTTGACATCTAGCTTCTATTTCTCATCTTTAGGAACATGCACACAAGCTTTATACCCAAAAACTTTCAAGTGATCATAAGAAACATCTTTGGCAAACCAACTCTATCTGGGACATCACCATACCAAATGTAGGAGACAAATTGATAATATAAGTGATAGTGTTAAGTTCTTCCACAAAAAACTTATTTGGAATTGTAGTCTCTGAAAGCAAGCATCTAACTCTCTCAACGAGAATTCTATTCATTTTCTCTGCCAAACCATTCAATTGAGGCTTCTTAGGTGGAGTTTTCTGGTGACGAATTCCTTGTTCTCTGCAACAGTTATCAAACGGACCACAATATTCACCACCATTATAAGTGTAAATACATTTGAATTTCCTCCCAATCTACTTCTTGATTAAGGCCTGAAATTCCTTAAATACGCTAAGTGCTTTATCTTTAGATTTTAAAGGGTATACCTAGAGCTTACGAGAATGATCATCAATGAAGGTCACAAAGTAAAGTGCACCACCTTTTGACTTAACTTTAAAAGGACCACATAAATAAGAATGTACTAGCTCTAATAGTTCAGGCTTTATGAAATGAAACCTTTTTCTGTTTGCCAGCTAAACGATGGACACACCTTTTCAGCTTTATTTGTTTCATTCCAGAGAGCAAACTTTTCTTAGTTTCTTAGCCAAACAATGTAATCCCCCTCTCTCTCATATGACCTAGTCTTTTGTGCCACAATTCTGATAAATGTTACTTTCTACCAGATTTATGGAGTCATTAAGAATAGAACATGTACCGGTCATGACATGGAATCCCAACCTCGGGGCTGTGATGGCGCCTAACATTCCACTTACTAGGCAAGCCAGCGTTAGCTAATTACTTAACTTGTTTTAACAATTTAAATCAAAATATTAATAATAAAAAACTATAATAGTCTGAAATAGATATGATAAATACCATGTAGAGTAGTCTAAACATATTCCAAAAATATGGAGTCACGAATACATGAAAATTCTAGAATTCTACAGATAAAGTCTGAACGAAAGACAACTGTTTGAAATAAGAAAAAAAAATAAAGATAGGATAGAAGGGGACTTCAGGGACTGCAAACACCAACAACTCTACCTCAAGTCCCCAAAAGCAGTTGAACCCGAGTAGTCTCCGCTACGCGCCACTGGGACCAACAACAGTATCTGCACAAGAAGTGTAGAAGTGTAGTATAAGTACAACTGACCCCATGTACTCTGTAAGTGTCGAGTCTAACCTCGACGAAGTAGTAATGAGGTTATGGAAAGTCATTCACAAATAACCTGTATGAAATAATAATTAAAAAATAGAATAAAAATAAAATAGTAAACTCAAATAAACGGACCCGAAAGTCAACTACTAGATGGCCCCAGAATAACATAATCTCACATCCCACATCACAATACCGAGATTAACTCTACAGCCACAAACAACTACAACACATCAAATCCGTTACAGCATGAAACCCGATCCCATGTTTCAGCACAATATCTTTTACAGTGTACGTCAGATTTCCAATATCAACATCATATCATTTCTTGTTCTGTTGCGGCGTGCAACCCAATCCCCCAATATCAATACCGTTGCAGCGCGCAACCCGATCCCCCAATATCAATTTAACAACATAAATAACTCAACACCAATATTTCCATAATATCAATACAAAAAGAAATGAAACATGTAAAACAATAAGAAACTACCAAAACAAACGAAGAATAACCAACAATTCGAAATCCCAAACCTTAGCAAAACAATAATACCAAAATAGCTAAATGACTCACATAAATGAAATAACATAATAAAATACTTCAAGTAATATAAGAACGGTAAAAGAAAGTAGAACATGATTCAAGGAAAATATACAATTTATACAATTAGAAGTATGTAGCAGGTAAACAGATATTGGGTGAGAAATATACAAATCGAAACAAGTAACAATAAAACAACAATGACAGGTAAGAACATGTAGCAACTAAAACATGTAACAAGATATAACATAGAATAAAGAAGATATGGAAGTAAATAACTCAATCCCGCATGTTTTAACCCTACGACGATGCATATACACTCATCACCTCGCATATACGCCGTCTCTCCACATAATTCACATAACAAGTAGACCAACAAGTCCTAATTCCCTCAAGTCAAAGTCAGGCACAACAATTACCTCTTCCACAATCAAAGCAACACTCAACTACGACCTTTCCTTTAGAATTAGCCTCAAAACCAGTCAAATCTAGCCAAATATGATTCAAATAATTCAAAAAAAGCTTTAGAAATTACCCATGAGTGAAAAAGATTCAATCTTTAATGAATTTGGAAAAAGTCAACAAAAGTCAACCCTGTGCCCGTTTGTTCAAAACTCGAGATTCAGATCAAAACCCGATTACCATTCACCTCCCGAGTCCAGTTAAGTGATTTGTTTAGAAAAACATCCTCAAGTTGAGGTCTAAATCTCAATTGTTTAAAATCCCTAAATTCTACCATGGAATTAATAGATTAAAGGTTAAAAATCAATGGGTGATTTTGGAAATACATCAAAACTAGTTAAAAATCACTAACCAATGAAGTGAGGATGAAATTCTCTTCAAAATTTCCTTTAGGCCGAGCTCTAGCTTTCAAAAATGGTGAAAATTGTCAAATCCCCAACTTTCAGCGCTTTAAATATCTGGGCGTCAGGTGTTCTTCGCGTTTGCGAAGAGCACTGGCCCGGTTCGCAAGGTCCTCTTCGTGTTTGTGAAGGCTAAATTCCCTGCATGCCTTTGCGTTCGTGAACCCTGGTCCGCGTTCGCGAAGAGAAACCACCCGCCTTCCCCCGAGATCACCCTAAGGCATCACGTTCGCGAGATGCCTGTCGCATTCGCGAAGGGTAAGACCTTCATTGAATCCTGTTCTCGACCGACCCTCGCATTCCCAAAGAACAACCAGCCCCAGCCCAAGTTTCCCCTTCACAATCACGAGAGAGCTTCGCGATCGCGATCGCGAAGCACAATGCACCAGACACCAGAAACAACTGTTTTACAAGTTTAAAATGGTCCGAAGCCTATTCGAAACTCACCCGAGCCCTCGGGGCTCCAAACCAAACATCTACATAAGTTTAAAAACATCATATGAACTCACTAGCGCGATCAAAACAACAAAATAATATCCAGAACCACGAATCAGGCATCAAAACACATGAGATTCAAAAGAAAACTCACCCGAGCCTCACCCGAGCCCCTCGGGCTCCAAACCAAACATGCACACAAGTATAATAACATCATACGAACTTGCTCGCACGATCAAAATACCAAAATAACACCTAGAACTACGGACTGGTCATCAAAATGAATGATATTTTCAAAGAAACTCAAGAACATGCAAATTTACAATCGGACGTCCGAATCACGTCAAATCAACTCTGTTTTGCACCAATTTTTGCAGACAAGTCATAAATAGTGAAATGAACCTATACCAAGTTCCAGAAACGAAATTCGAACCCGGTAGAAACAAAGTTAACCTACGGTCAAACTTAGGATTTATTTAAGCCATCAAATTACTAGTTTTCAACAAATCACTTTAAATCAAGTTAGGGACTTCCAAATTCGATTTCGGGAATAAGGCCAAGTCCTAAATCATGATACGGACCCACAAGGACAAACAAAATACTAATCTGAGTTGGTATCCACAAAATATTGACCGTAGTTAACTAAAATGAGATTTACGACAAGTTTTCACCTCAATAATTTTTGAAAAAAAGACACGGACTGCATACGCAAATCGAGGAAGGCTAAATGGAGTTATTCAAGGTCTCAAAACACAAAAATGAAGGTTAAAACCCAAAGTGACTTATTTTGGTATCCATAAAATATTGACCGTAGTCAACTAAAATGAGTTTTATGACAAGTTTTCACCTAAATAATTTTCGAAAAAAAGACACGGACTGCGTACGCAAATCGAAGAAGGCTAAATGGAGCTATTCGATGTCTCAGAATACAGAAATGAAGGTTAAAACCCAAACTGACTTATTAGGTCATCATATTCTCCACCTCTAAAACAAATCTTAGTCTTCGAATGGACATAGAAAGGTATCTGAACTGGTAAAAAGTTGTGGATATCTACTCTTCATGTCCAACTCGGACTCCTCTATGGCTGCCTCGATCGACTGACCTTTCCACTACACTCAAACTGAAGGATAAATCTTAGACCTCAACTTCCAGACTTGCCGGGCTAGAATGGCCACCGGCTCCTCCTCATAAGTCAAATCCATGTCTAATTGGACTGAGTCGAAAGTTAACACATAGGACGGATCACCGTGATACTTCCAGAACATGGACACATGGAACACCGGATGGACTGCTAATAAACTAGGTGGCAATGCTAGTCTATTGGCCACCTCACCCACTCTCTCAAGAATCTCAATGGATCCGATATACCTAGGGCTCAACTTGCCATTCTTTCCAAATGTCATCACACCCTTCATGGGTAAGATCGGAGCAGAACCCTCTCTCCAACCATGAAAGCAAGATCTCGAACTCTACGATAAGCATAACTCTTTTGCCTAGACTGAGCTATGCGAAGTCGATTTTGAATCATCTTGACCTTTTTTAAGGCATCCTGAACTAAATCGGTACCTAACAACCGAGCCTCTCCCGACTCGAACCAACCAACTGGCGAACAGCACCACCTCCCGTACAATGCCTCATAGGGAGGCATCTGAATACTCGACTGGTAGTTGTTGTTATAGGCAAAATCTGCAAGTGGCA